CCTTCAGTTTCATTTTCAATCTGGGGAACAAAGCGAAATTACAGGGGGCTAAGTCCGGCAATAATAAGCGTGAACTTTCATATTTTCTTCTCTGAGAACTTTTCAAAATAGCACAAATGCAGAATTATTCACAATGTTAGAAATGTCTGAAAAAAAGCATTGTGTTAGTCTTTTGGGAACTGCAGCCAATTGCTTCGCGTTTTCTTGCCATTAGGTCACCACAAAGTGAAACTGATTAGTTGGTGGGTGGAATAAAAATATTCTCGAGTGTGTACAGGCCAGAGATTCAGCTCAGTGACTGCAGGTTTTGGAAAGGAACAAGGTAAAAGTGAGGCACACGATGCACTGGAGATTAATTTTGTTGTAATTATTAACAGACACATAAGCCTACACATAATTAATAGATGAATACAATTACAATGCAATAATTCTGTCGACGATGCACTAAATGGATGTTGGTTTTGCTTTATGGTAAGTTACACTGGTTGTAAACTGTCATCTTAGAAGTCTGATTCACATTGTTCAACAATTGACAGAAAGAGAACGGTGGCAACGGATGAGAACAATGTTATAACACGCTGCGGGTATATTGGACAATTTTCGCCGGCGTCTTGCAAAAAGTCGAAAGGAACTTGGACTTTTCAGTACTCCCTGCCCTCCAAGGACTGATGTGGTTCCCATTGGTCGCCTGAGAAGTTTAATTTAGTCCATGGTTTAACTGCTTTTCATGGCTTACTAAGAGATGCGGTAGCCTGAACCCCACACCACGCCATGTCAGTGACAAGCAGGATATCACGTGTCAGTTAAATCACAAGAATTCTAGTGCCTAGCTCCACCCACTGGGTTTCCCGATGGAAACAACTTAGCTTCTCTTTTTAACCCAGAAGTACCTAAGGAGCACAGATGGAAAAATCGCATGGGTCTGTCCGTAGTTCAGGTCGCTATCTGGACAACCAGTTCCTTAAAACCTGGTTCATTGCGATTGAAGATCCAGATATATAAATTTAAGGAGGCAAATTCTTACCTTGTGCATGGCCAAAGCTCCCTGTGCCTCATCACTGAAGCTGGAAAAATTCACATATTTTTCCAAAGATAGTTCACCTGGAGGAACGTTCTTATACAATGCGTTCAATGATCGAGGAAAACTGGTAACACCGTAAAGCGGAAACATTTCTCGCAAGAGCGCTGCTGTAACTTCAGATAGCAGAACGAGTAATTAGCGCTGATAAACGTGCGCCGTTAGGTGGTCTGATCTTGTCACTGCAGTAAGTCGTATTTAATGCAAAATGTCCACGATAGAATCGTGGAACCACAGCTTTTATTAATGACTGATGAAGCATGGTTTCACGTTAGTGGCCATGTCAATGCACAAAATGTAAGAATACGGAAAGATGAAAATCCTTATGCTACACAGCAAGTGCCATTACATAGTGAAAAGGTGGGGGTATGGTATGCTGTAAGTCCGCGCCGAATCATTGGCCCCTTATTTTTCCACGAAACCGTGAACTCTGACCGCTACGTTATTGGTATACTGAATCCGTGCTTGAAACAGCTGACAGCTGAAGAAAGACAATATGGGTATTTTTAGCAAGGCGAAGCTACAGCACATACGGCTAATGCAGGCCGCGCCATAGTTCAACCGGTTAATGGTTGGCTTCCCACCGCGGCGGCCCGGGTTCGATCCCGGGGTCTGGTCAAGTGGGATTTGTGGTGGACAAAGTGGTGCTGGGGCGGGTTTTCTCCCAGTACTTCGGTTTCTCCTACCAATTTTCATTCCACAAAATTATCCATCATCATAATCACCCGGAGCATGTACAATAGGCCAATCAGTGGCCGCCGTACATATTGGACCCAGCTGGACTCCATCCCCCACTAGCGAATTAAAAAAAAATTACGGCTAATGCAACCATGGTCGCAATACTGGAAGTGTTTGAAGACAGAATAATCAGCAGGGGACTGTGCCCTCCCAGATCTCATTTTTTGCGATTTTTGTCTTTTGGGAAACCTAAAAGGGAAAAGTCTACAAGAATAATCTTCCATCACCGAAGCTCTGCATAATAAAATAACAACCGTAAATGGTTCAATTAGCCTGGACCAACTTCAGAAATTGTAACACAATTTATTTATGCGATGCGAGGCGTGTTTACAAGCAAGGGGGGACACTTTCAGCACGTGTTATAAGTTAGTGTTATATTTTTACAGTATTCCTATAGATGTGTGCATGTACAGAAACTGGTGCGAGGGAACCAGCGACACGACGGCACTCTCGCTGGCGGGGAAGGGCACAGTAGTCGCGGAGAAACGTTCCGTCCGCACTACGCTAGCGACAGTTCACTGCAGCGTGAAGTGTATATTTATTCAATTTGACAACGAATTGCCGTTATGGTTACGCAGGTGAGGTTAAATGGTGTACTTGTACAGAGATTGTCTTCGTTGTAGCTCGACAATTAAATTTAGAAACATGACGATGGTGATAAATTTTAGATGTTGCCTACTAAATTTATAGCAGTGGGAATTATGCACAGAAATAAATCAGAAAATAATTTTGTTAGCTATTCAGTCTGCACAGACCAAAACGCTCAGAGAAACGTACTTACCAGAGCATCTTGCTATATTCTTCCGACTAAATACCACCGATTATAATGATACGTACGAAAAACATAGTAGTTTTTTTTTCTAGGAGCTGAATAATGAATCCGGTGTGCCTGAAACATTTGAGCTCTTCTCTGCATTATCGGCTCCTTAGACTCGTTAGTTTGTCAAGTACTTTCTACCGACCTTCCTCTTCCAACGTCATCTCCCCAATCTCACACCCTCGGCGACGACTACGAGTCACGTGATTCCTTCCAAATAATCCGATCCTCCTGTCGTTTCGGCGACCGAAATCAAATTGTTCGGTAGCGCATACTTGTACGTACGCTGAGTTGCGCGACAGGAAACGCGGTGTCAGCTAGTGGTAGTGGAACATTTATAGGAAGATATTTCTCTGTTCTGCTGAACACAAGAGATTAAGTACAGACTGAATTACCTTCAGTGGCTGATGAACAGTTTACAAAGCTTCAACTTCACGAAATTCCCCGTACGTCCCTGTCTCAAATAATTCTTTTCGCACTGACGGCCATTGTTGCACCTCGCTCTCCGTTCTTCCTTTGTAAAGATGCTCAACTTTTCCCCTTGCCGCTGTCACATTTCTTCATAAAACTGTAAACACTTGTAATCATTTCCTTAATTTGGCTGTGAATTACTTCATAGTCCCCCCTGTTTTCTTTGCTTCATTCCCTTTGTCTTGCATCCTGTTCACACTGAATAGAAACAACAGTGAAAATAACAAGCCTAGTTGCAAACTCTCGAAGGCTACTGAAGTGGAACTCAACACAAGATGGTAACTCAGCCATAACACTCGATTGGCTGCCCCCCCCCCCNCCCGGCTGCAAAGCAACTGAACGTCTCTAGGCTCATCTCGTCCAGAACCTACTGTATGACATTTTGCGCAAATACAAAAATATCCGGCATTTCTACTATGAAAATATATAAGGTTTAATTACTGTTTTGTGTGTTAGTTTCTGATGGAGAGTGGTTGAACCGGAAAATGGCCGTCTTGAGTCGTCGCCAACCGAAAGAGAGCCCTAGAGCATGGAGACTGAGGAAGCAACTGTGTAATTCTGTTGGCCTTACAACAAGGAAACAGGAGCATTATTTTGGTTTCTGGCACCATAATCCTTCTTGTTTTGAAATTTGCTTGACGGATACGAACGGTTACCACACCTGGGATTCGAATTATGGGACTGCAGAATACACATACTGATGGTTGCTCAGTAGTAAATATTCTTTCTATGAACATTGTGATTAATGCCTATTAGGGATATTGCAGTGGAACTTAAAGTTCTTCGGTATCTAAGTTTTAAATCTCGTCAACTTATTCTAACGTTCATATGTATCAGTAGGTAGAATTCCTTACTAACAAATTAGTCAGGCCATGCACAAACTTTCCGCCATCTATGAGCCGATTGTCTAGAAAATGTGGGAGCCTCAACGTCTCACAATCCTATGAATCTCCACGGCCTGTTACAGGGATACCTTTACTTTACATGCATCTACAATAAATTAAGCCCCATTAAACTTTCGATGTGTTATAAAAACAGGCTACATCTAAAAAAAAATCCCCAAATTTAAAATTTAAAGCCTTGTTTCAATTATTCGGTAGTTCAATGGACAAACCAAATTTCTATAATTTCATGTTGCTGATTATTCCAGGAGATATTTTCTTGTTAAAAAAAAATTCGGTATATTAATGACGTCTCTAAAATTTCGATGTTCTTCAGTTCCTCCACGAACTCACTAAAATACAACATGGAGGTAAATACGTTATCTTCCTATACAGTGTTTCCAATTCATCACTCGCATTCAACATAACACGTAACGCTGTAAATATTCCCTAGAGTAAATCACCTAATTATATGTTCACAACAGCTCTTTCATTTATCATTCGACGCTAAATAAACCATTCAGATTAATTAAACAACGTATTAATATGTCGATTCAAACTAAATTTGCCGGTCACGGTAGCCGAGCGGTCTAAGGCTGTCTTCGCTTGCTCGGAAGCCGGGATCGTGGGTTCGAATCCCACTCATGGCATGGATGTTTGTGTACAGGTAGAGGCCTTGCGACGAGCTGATCACCCGCCCAAGAAGTCCTACCGTAAGACCTAGTAAAACCGAAGTGAAACGGAGAGTTTCATGGAGGTAGGCCTAGGCCCAAATGAGGGCTGTAGCGCCAATGAAAAAAAACAACTAAATTTAATTAGGCAACTTATGAACATGATACAACTTGGACACAAAAGAAAAAAAAAATAAAGGACTCTTTCTAAAATCTCGCTGAACGCGGGACTCTTTGAATTAAACTTGTTTTGTGCTAGAAACGACGACGCTCCTCTTCGATCCACATTTTCGAGCGTCTCCGCACTTGCTCGGAGTGCGGCCATTGATTGCGGCTGTACGTGACGCTGAGAGGGGTGGAGAGGGGAGCACTGCGGGAGTTTGCTTTGTTCAGTTGAGTGAGTGCTGTCGGGTGTTTCTGCTGGTTATGGTGTTGGTCCCGTATCGGCTGTGGCTCTAGTCTACCTGCCAATATTCCTTCCTTCTCTCCTCCTTATTTCCTTCCTTCACAGTTTACATTCGACGTTTCAGCAGCAACCATTCTTCTGGCTCCTGTTGCTGGCCTATTGTACCAGCAAGGTAGGCAACCTACATTTGTAAAGCTTTTGCAGTGACATCTCGAAATTTCATAAAAATGGAGGCAACTGTGATATGACTCAGTTGTGAGAAAGACAAAGCTGAACATATTATGCGTGCTTAATCCTGTTTGGGTACAGATTTTGGCTTGTCAGCTTTGTCCTCATCGTTAACATCTGTGATTATACGTGATCGAATTATTGCATCTCTTCCGCAGAAAATTAGGATCAAAGTTAAATAATAAATTTGCCAGGAAAGTGAGTGTAATTATGAGGATTCCTGTCGGATGTCGGTTCCTCGTTTCTTCTTTAATCGCTTATAATTTGAGAACAGGCTTTAATTAAGCGAAAATGGCTTGAGTGGCGTAATTCATTTCAAACTGCCATGCGTACATCATTATTGGCGTCGCGGGAAGGAAATTATATACTTAAAACTACTGCTAACTCCCTGAAAAGGAAAGTCTCTTTGGTGGCAGAGTACAGTTAACGAAAAACTGGAAATTTATTAGATTTTGCAGACATGTGGATGATAAAATTATGCACGATAGAAGGTGTTCAAGGACACTGAGAAGTGGAAGATCTTTTGCAGTGAATGAAACTTTGATACATGAAGGCGATCTATCGATTGTTTCGTGCAAATTAGCCAGCCTGCTCATTGCTTTTAAATTAATCAGTTTTTGAGTGCACACGTAATCTGAAGTAGACTGGGGTCGATATTTCGCGGACAGCGTGAATGATTTATTTATATTCTTTCTGCAGAAGAAGGCTCCTATTTTTAGAAAATATTTCATTAAATTTTTAAAATAAACATGAAGAGACAAATACGTAAGAAACCCTCAGTTAAACACCGTTCAGGTGATTTGAGAGAGTTTTACTGAGACTTATGTGTTTTTGTTTGATAAATGCCTGTTTGAAATATTCGAGTCCTAATGGATAATAATGCACACAGTGGAATATCTGTTACGTCGTGTACATTGGGTAATGATAGAACTACAATTTTAACTCAGTGGAATTAATCATTGCGTGGAGACCAGTACTAAAGCTACATATCATAATCTAGTATGTTGATGTTCTATACTACAGATCCGGGAATTCAAATATCAACCCGTTCATCAGAAAATTGTGTTACATTGTTAAGATAAATATCTTCGTGTCACTTCATTAATTGCCTACAACACGGAAAGGAAAATGAAATCAAGGTTTTTCGTACTGCCGGATACAGCGCAACAGAGGAAGAACTTCAAAAGAAGAACATAGGAAAACGACGACGTCCTGTCATCATGCCGGTTTTTTTTTTTTGTCGTTATTTCAGAAGGATTTCCACAGTTTGTCAGGTGCATAAGGCATATACGCTGGAACAGTCTGGCTGATGAGTATCAGTTAATTGTATACTTAACGACGTTAAGTTTCCTGCGTCTAGTGAGGTGTGGGGGCGGTTACGACTGCAGAAAAAGTAGTTCTGACACACAGGTGAATATGCTGAACCAGAATTTGCAATGTATGGAACAATTTGTGAGTATATGAAGGGAACTCTATTAACTGTGATATCCTACTGCCTGCGCTTATGACGATAAACACGAACATTTGAGTTCCATAAAGAAGAATGAACACTTCTCGAAGAGCTGAGCATCTCCCTGTACCGTGGACATCATTAGACTTTAATGAAAGAATGTGAAAAAAGTGTCAAATTCAACCTTTAACTAGAAGTAGGACTCTAGTGGTGAAGTGGTGAAAGCATTATATGTCACATTGGACTGAAATAAACTTAATTGTAAAGGACTCTAATATTTAAGTTTTATGACTTCCAACTTACCCTGCAAAATTGACGTCCCTCGATGTCATTTTTTATTATGAAACGCAATTTTAATGATAGTTAATGTCTTTAGTGTGCCTCCTTTTTAAGTAGATCGTAGGTTGAAAACTGTCTCTGGTTCAAAACACTGCCCTGCAAAATGAACAATTTAAACACATTACCGAATTAAATGATCATAGATATAATTTTACTCCACTTGCTTACCAATGGGAAGTAAGAAATCCAAAAGACATAAAGTTAGCAAGCTAGAATTGTGCGTGAATACAACCAACCACCTGATAATTCAGCATCCGTTGTAATCACGTGTGCGTGATCAATTTACACCATTGTGTAAGGTTATGGAGTTGGTTTAATGTTTTACACAAAATTCTTACTGTTTATTGACGTAAAACTTTGAACTTCGAGGAGTCGTCTGTTTATTTTTAATTATTTTATAGCCGAATAATTTTATTTTTAATGTTGTTAATATGCGAATTAATGAAACATCTTAAATATTGACTTATGCCTAGGGTTCTGTAAGTTTACGATACTTGTACATACATTACATGCTGAAAGATTTGAGTGAATTTGTGAGTCTGGAAAGAGGAGTAATGATTGGAAACATGTAGCATCAACCACGCACTGTAGAAGCCCTGAATTCCGCCCTGCAAGTCCCACAACGTTGTTGAAACCCAACATTGCGACTGACGCTTCTACACATCTTCGGTATTTATAAGCGCGCGTGTAATGTACTCAGAGCCATTTTGTGCCTCGTTGGCATTTATGTTCTGAAACATAGACACGTATTACTGTTAAGTTTAGTTCTTAATGGACATGTGATAAAATGTTCTTGTTAGTATTGTAACGTGCAGACCCCTTGCTGGATAACGGCCTCGAAACAACATTCGCTGCTAGGCAACAGATTCTTAATAAGCAAATATACGCAGCCGTTACTGGGTAAGGTCTTCGCAAACAAACACGTTACCATGTTAACGGTTTGAGTACAACAATGAACGGTGTGTGCTACGCGGTACGAGACGAATACGAGTCATAGGAGGCGACGAAAAGGGAACCCAATGTCTGAAGTTATAACCTAGCGCGTGTTGTAGTGATTTGTAAATAGTGGAGAACAGCCGTGGCACTATAATTGTAGTCACCAGTCTTGTGTTTATGTGATCAATAAATACAATGTCCAATCCTAAAGTCCATCTACAGTCGCAATATAACAATTGACAGTATAATTATTATCTGAAGTTCCTGTGGTCTTGTTATTTGCGAAGATTTCTGAACCATCTTCGAGTCTTCTATCACATTTGGAGCTGGCTTTCTGAATGCAGTTCTCAGCATACATTTTTTGTAGCAATTTACTCAGAAATCCCCACAAAAACTGGCATCAGGTTTTTGGAGTGATTATCTCTGTGATATATGACTGACAAAATGGCGCTCTCACGTCACTGCGGCTGATTCAAGAAACACATATACATATAAAAAGTAAAGCTATCCCTGTAACAGGCCATGAAGGCCCATAGGGTTGTGAGACGTTGAGGGTCCCACATTATCTAGACCAAGGGTCTCCAAACTACGGCCCGCGATGTGATTTTATCCGGCCCGCGAAAGAATTGTGCAGAAATGCGCCAATTGAACTAATTTTCAATTGAGTACTGTTAAAGGTGATTCCGAGATTATTGACCTGACATATTATACTGCAGTTCGATGGCATAGCTGTGGAAAGGTTCTTTCGCGCTTCTTTCAGCTCAGGAATGAAATTGATATATTTCTTACCGAGAAAAACCATCACGAACCACTTTTATCAGATACCGAGTGGCTTTGGAAATGAGCATTTTTTGCTGATCTGGTGAACCATATGAACCATTTGAATTTAAAGTTGCAGGGTGAAAATAACTTAGTCTGTGATTTCGGAAGCGATTTGCTGATTTGGATTCCAGTGCTCAGGAAATTAGATTGTTCAAAATCCGTTTGATTCTTATGCTGCAGATGTCAAATTCAAATGGAATTTATTGAACTTCAGGAAAATTATCATATTAAAGATAAATAAAAGGAAGGAAATTTGATCGAATTTTATAAATTTCTGAACTCTGAGCGATTTCCAAACTTAAAGAAATTTGCTTGTAAACTTATCTCCATTTTTGGGACGACGTATCTGTGTGAACAAACTTTTTTCCAAGATGAAGTACATCAAGTCGAAATACGGGGCAAATTTATCCGATGAACATTTAAAGTCGCTGCTTGTGATTAGCGTTTCAAAATTTGAACCTCAATTTAATCAGATTTTAAGAATGCAAAAAGAGTTTCATCATCCACATTAATTGTTTTATTATAATTTGTGATGAAAATATGAGCATTTGCTGCTACTCTCTGTTGTCATTAATATACGATAATTTATTCTCACGTACTTTGTATTTAGTTTATGAAATTCTGTGCTTTCAATAAAACTCATATACGTAGAGTTATTAATTTCTCATTTTATCCGACCCGTTGAAAGTGCTGAAGTATCTTATGTGGCCCGCGGTTCGAAAAGTTTGGAGACCTCTGATCTAGACAATCGGCTCAAAGATGGCGATAAGGTTGTCAGCCTTACGCTCCGGCCGCGCTTTACTCCCCAGGAAAATTATTTAATGAATTCCTGGTACTCATTTCTGTTAGAGGCTGAGTAAACCCCAGGGCCATAGCGCGACTGGAAGGATACTGGCACTAACCATGAGAGATCAAACCAAATTCTGAAGTAAGTCTTGGTGGTCAAAGAATCAAAACAAAGTTGATATAAACGTGGGTGTTGTTTCTGCCAGAATCCAGTTCTAATAAACATCAAAGAATGTTCATTGTAAACGCAAGAATATGTACATAATACATGTATATTCGTCAAATGAATATTTTTTATTTAGTATGCATTTGAGTAAATATAAGGCAAATAATAATTCATGGCCGTAATTATAGTACAGTGCTTTTGAATTAAACCATTTGGTGACATTCGCAAAGGTAGTTACTAATAATGCGGGATCGTTGGAAAATAACTTCTTTCAGATGTTATATCATTCAAATTCATGTGGGGCGACGGCGTAATGATATCCAAAGAGGGCATTTGACGATGCTGCATCATTTAGCTAGAGACTACTGAGTCTGTTCACCCAGTGATGTCATTCTGTTACATTTGTTTTACGGAACGTCTCTCTTCAGTCTTCGGATTCGCCGTG